CTGCCAGAGTCTTAACTGGAGTTAGTGGGAGAGATCATATCTCTCCCACTAACTCCAGTTAAGACTCTGGCAGCAGCATTTTGGATCAACTGAAGACTTTTTAAAGAAGTATTTGGACACCCAGATAATAAACCATTACAATAGTCCAGTCTAGACGTGACAAATGCATGAACCAGTTTTTCTGCATCATTTTTAGATAAGATGTTTCTAATTTTAGAGATATTACGCAGGTGGAAGAAGGAGGTTTTAACATTTTTAATGTGGGGGATAAAAAACATGTCCTGATCAAAAATAACACCAAGATTTTTAACATTAGATCTGGAGGACAGATTAATGTCATCTAAGGAGGGAGAACGACTGAAAAATTGATTCCTAAGGTGCTCAGGTCCAAAAACTAAAAGCTCAGTCTTGTCTGTGTTCAAAAGCAGAAAATTTAGGGTCATCCATGTTTTTATGTCTTTCCTCCATCAGAAACAAAAACAAACACCCCTCAACTCCCATCAGGCTCAATGAAAGAGAAGTTCCAGTTCACATATTTCTCTTTAGAGTCCGAGCTCTCTGTGAATCGATGTGTGTTCAGCCTCGTTTTGTTTGTCCCAAAGTCCCGCTCTCCCCCCGGCCTTGAGTTTTGGACTGGCAGTATCGACTGGTTTGACGACACACAGCCGCTCTCTCAGAGCTGATTTAAAACTCCTGCAAACTAAAGGCCCACGCCGCCGTTCACACCACACTTGGAAAGTACGATCAGAGTTGGAGCCGTTCTGGTCAAACCTTACCCAACATTTCAAGATGTTGAGTGATGTGTTAGTGGTTTATGTGTCGTGAATGACTCAACTCCAAACAAACCAAACTTTAGCTCAGTGTCTGTAAAATGAACCGAGTAAACCAGACTTGTGTGTTTTGTAAGGTTAGATGAGTGTAGCAGCCATGTTCAGGTTTACTCCGTCTAATGGTCACTTTTAGAAAGTTTTACTAAGCTCTGTTCAGTGGTTCATGAGATATTTTGCTAACAGACAGAATCGACTCCAGTGGTTAAAGACAAAGTTTTAAATATAGATCTCACCTGCTTGATCAGATCTCAGCGTATGTGTTGGGAATGACTCTCAGCTACTACCACTCGAACTTTTAGCTGTAAGATTGACTGAGTTAGACATTTTAGGGTTTGATTAGCTGTGGCGGCCATCTTGAATGGGACTGACTCCTGAAGTTATTTGCTGGTAGAGATACATCCACTTATTACTTTCTGGGACTTTTAATAAAATCCGTCCCGTGGTTCTTTAGATATTTTGCTAAAAAAGAGACAATTAAATCCACACGCAGACTTGGGCAAAAACATTATCACCCACCTCTTGCTTTTCAGCTGTGGGTGATGAAAATAAACAAACTGAAAAACAACTACTGAAGTCAGAGAATTTGATCTGAGCTCAGATCAGAATCAGCTTTATTGTCATTGCACCGAAGCACAACAAAATTACATTTCAGTACAGCCCGTCCAAGTAAAATAAACACAAACAGACAAGGGGAGACGGAGGTGTCTGAGGCTGCAGCCTCGTGGGAGGTGCTGCCCTTTTCATTTAGATAAGAAAAACAGAAACACGGGGGAAAAGGAGGTGTAAAATCATATCTCACACTGTGTCGTAGATGGGACACAGTGTAAAAGTTGCAACACCAAAAAAACAAAACTCAGCACAGAAATAGCAACATATTGATGACATTATGATACATATGCATGAGGAGGCCCAACGAAGGTGGTAAGTTTGTCCGTGGACACTGCCAGATAGTTCCATAGTCCTGATAAGAAATGGTGCAGTGTCAGCCAGCTCAGCTCTGACACAGGTCCACAGATGTCCTCGGGAAGGAGCGGGTAGGTGAGGGGGAGCAGAGCTTCTTTTTCGCATAACATCCAGGAGAGTTTGGGAAAGTTGGCCAATTCAAGACCGACACGGGGGAGCCAGATTCAGATAACAACAGTTATTTTGGGTCAGGCCGACTCTGCTTGACTTCTGTCTGCCTTATAGTTCTACTGGTACGTCTCAATGGTGACTTCAAACAGCCAGATGTTTGTAGTCAAAACCGCCGGGTCGAGCTTGTAGCTTCTCCAAGGTTGATTCCTTCCCGCCAGCGAGTTTCAGGAGCCACAAGTGGCCTGAGATTCTCAGAAATCGCGTCCAGCTTGCAGCTCAGCTCACACAGCATCTGAGTCTGAGTGCTCATCGCTCGGGACATTCCTTCACACATGCCGGGCAGCCTCACAATGGCCAGAACAGCTGTCGACGTTTTCCATATTTGTCGATATGCCAGGTAACGACCAACTCCAAAAAGCAGAAATCCTGTTATCATAAATATTATTAAGTACACGTCTTCTACATCCTCAATCAACAATACGGACAGACACACCATCTTCCACTGCCCTCAGGAATCCATGGTGTATCCAGCTGCAAGTGTCCCGTCATGGCAAGAGGGCTCTCCTTCGCCCTGCCTTCTCGTCGAGAACATTTTATCAATTGCGTTGAGAAACCAGCAGCCCAGATTCATAATTTACAATTTGGAGGATATGCAAAGAGAGGCCCCGATAAGGATCACAAGACAAAGAGCAGAAGCAGGAGCCGGAGGGAAAAGCATCTGCCTTCATCGAGAGCCAGCAGGAAGATGTTTACTATCATGGTTTAATTTAGTTTAGTTGTTTACTTTTCAACTTTTATATTTTAATTTGATTGAAATTGGTGCTTCAGTGGAAAACATAAAAACAAACCTGCTCAGTAATATCAACGAGTAAAATATAACTACAGTTTCTGCTGATTTATTATAATTTATTATGTTTGTTTTAATCCCAACTACTCTGCCAACAGTGTTAATATAAACTTAAAAGGAAATCTGTTAATATTTAAAATTTGGTAAAAAAAAATAAAAAAATCTAAAGAAAACTAACAGATTCACTGTTTAGACATTTTTATCATTTTTAGCTCTCTCGTTGGAGTAAACTGATCATGTTTCCACTCGCACTTTGAGTTTTTCTAGGAAAGGGCTCGTTTTCTAAAGAAGACCAACAGAAGTAAAAAAAAAAAAACTCCTGTTGCTCTGACAAAACCCAAATGTTCCCGTCAGCAGCAGGAGAAATGTGAGCCACGTGTGCTCTGCTCCATGTGGGAGAGGAGGAAGGAGGAGAGAATTCTTAGAAATCCACAGAAAAAAACAAAACGTGCGCGGCAGCTGAACTTTACCGGACGTTTGTGGGACTTCAGTGCTCAAAGAAGAAGTTGTTCCAAACACCAGAAAAAGTTAAAAACTGGGTAAATTAAAAATTAATAAAGTGCTGAGGTTTTTAACTCAGCAGTTAAAACTGTCCAAGAACTTCAGACATAATAATTTTATATATTTACAGTACATAGACTATATACAGTGTATATTTAGATAAAACCCAAGAGTTTTCTTCTTCTTTCAGCTGCTCCCTTCTTCAGGGGTTGCCACCACCGAGCTACCACAGCCCTCTGTGTGGAGCAGAGAGCTGCTATCTAGGGTGGGGGTGGGGGTTAAGGGCCTTGCTCAAGGGCCCAGAGTGGGGCAAATGAGGGTGGAGGCAGGTGCGGGTTCACCCACATTTTGATGTTGTCGGTACAGGGAGTTGAGCCTGCGACCTTCCGATCACAAGCCCACCTTCTCTAACCTCTGCGCCACCACTCCCCTTAAAGTAAACCTAGAAGTTTCAAAACATTCAATTGTAGCGTAAGTCCTGATGTAATTGTTAATGCTCAATTTTAATTTGCGTTGACTTTTAGAAAAATTGCCGATTGGATTAACTTGAAACATGGAACCAACACATCCATCCAGTGAACCCAGTTCAAAACAAAAGTAAAACCACAGAAATATACACTTTAAAGAAGAGGACCGTATGAGATCTGACTGGAAAAAAAGTCCAGAGACATCAGGTTCAGTAATAAATAGACGCATCTGTTTATTTACACGACATATTTAAAGGCCAGAACATTAAAAACAGAACATTTATATACATTTACATATAAACATCATATTTACAAACTGCAGAGGACCAACAACAAAGACGTCAGCAGCAGGTATTTCTCTTCCTAAAATCTGTAACTCATGACCGCAACAAAGTTTTCTTAAAGGGATGTTTCAGCCATTTTGAGGTGGCGCTGAGAGTAAAAGTTTTAAACAAATAATGACATTTAACTGGATTGATGAGCTAATGGCTAGTCTGAAGCAGCCATTCTCAGACCTCTTCTGGTTCATATGGACCAGGGCTATTCAACTAAACTGCTCAGGGGGGCCACAGTTACTGAAAGCCAAGAGCTCAGTGGTCGGACATCCAGCAGTTATTGTCTTTAAAGTTTGTTTAAATGTTTAAAATCTAGTTTTATTCAAAAATGAACACATCGGTGGGCCGAACTGAGTTCATCCGTGGGCCTGAATTGGCCCCCGGGCCACCAGTTGAATAGCCCTGATACAGACTCTGTTAACGCTGAACATTTCAAGTTAAAAAATAAAAAATAAAACAACATAATTGTTACTTTAATGTTAAAAGCTTGTGTAAATGTGTTTTAATTTATCCCTGATACACAATGCAGAAGGTTAGGAACAGCTTGAATGCTTCAGAGTTTAGAAGTAGATAAAAATGTGGGCGTGTGACATGTAATTTTAAAGCATTACTGTTAATAAAAAGTGCTTTTATGTGGGAAAAAAACAACATTATGGCTGCTTCTGGTGTGGAAACAACATGGGACCTCAGAGCGAACACTTGCTGTCTTAAAACAGCTCTTTAATTTTATAACAACTCATTTGAACTATTTTCATCTCACATTCACATTCTGTGAATATTCCAGCAGAAACATGATGAGATCGTGTC